CCTTTTTTGGCTCTGCGATGCAGGAGGCCGCGCCGGCGGCGAGGGACCCTGCGGTGCCGCAGAAGCACATCGTAGAGAACCCGCAGCTGATGGACGTCTTCCGCCACTCGGCGTCTTTCGCGAAAATCATCGCGTATCTGCAGGGCTGCTCGGAGTCGGTCGAGGGGACGCCACGAAGTGGGCGACTAGCGCAAAAGCCCGCGGAGTTTCACCCGACCGTCCGCTTCTTCCTTGAGACCTTCTTCCCACACCTGCACAAGATTGTGGACGAGGTACCGCTGCAGGACTTGAAGCTGCAGCGGTTTGGCAACAAGGCATTTCGCGTCTTTCACAGTCGCCTTGAGGCGGACGTTGACGCGCTGATGCAGCAGCTGGTGGCGACGCTGCCTGCAACGAAGGTCGAGCGGAGTGCGGAGGCGCAGCACAGTCTGGCCGTGGAGCTGGCAGAGTACGTCAAGGACTCCTTCGGCAATAGCACCCGCATTGACTACGGCACAGGGCACGAGCTGCACTTCTTTGTCGTCATGATGATTTGCCTGCAGGAGTGCGGCGACGCCGGCGGCACGCTGCGGGCGGAGCCTGACATAATTCTCTCCCTGAGCTTCCCTCCACCGGCGCCGGTGCTGGTGGACGACAGGGACCGCGTGCGGCGGCTGCGGCAGGGCATGGTGTTCGATGTGTTCGGCGCGTACCTCGCCTTTATGCGGCGGCTGCAGAAGCACTACCACCTGGAGCCCGCTGGGTCGCACGGGGTGTGGGGGCTCGACGACTATCACCACATCCCCTTCATCTTTGGCGCGGCGCAGCTGATCGACAAGGAGGTGCCCTGCACGACCGACTCCGTCAGCACCGGCAAGGGCTACGGGGTCATCCTGCCAAAGCACGTCTGTGAGGAGAACGCCGTCCGGCTTCACGCCGAGGAATACTTTTACTTTGCGCAGGTTGCGTGGGTGCGGGACAACAAGACAGGCCCCTTCTTTGAGCACAGCAGCATGCTCTACAACATCAGCGGCGTAGAAAGCTGGCGCAAGATATATACTGGCATGATAAAGATGTACGCCGCGGAGGTGCTGGGAAAGTTCAACGTTGTGCAGCACTTCCTTTTTGGCGACCACTTTCCCTGGCCGGAGGAGGCCGCGTAGTGAACGCTTTTTGTTTTTGTTCTTGTTTTCCCTTTTTTTTTTCCTGTATTATTTGCTGGCGTCGTCTGCGTTGTATTATGCCCTTCCCACACCGTAAAGAAGCTGCTTTGTGGCGGTGGTGGGGCTTCTTCCCCCTGACTGCAGCCGGTCCTCTCTTTTCGAGTTTTTAGCTTCGACTGCGCCGCCGACGACGCCGACGCCGCCCCTTCCCCGGCTACGGAGCTGCTTGGGCGGGGAGGCGCGCGGCTACTGTGGCGCAGCACACATCCCTTTTGCCCGCCGCCACGCCGGCGCTGGCTCTCCTTCCGTCAAGAGGGAAGTGAGGGGGGAAAAAGAATAGTTTAAAAGAGAAGAAAAAAGAAGAGCTGGATAGCGTGTGTGAGTGTGTGTGCGTCTGCATGAGGTCTGTCTACCGCGACCCCGTCTCCCAGTTGGCCATCGTGCCGCTGGAGGCGGTGGGGCTCGAGGCCCGGGACGCCTTTCGCGCGTTGCTGCCGCCGCCGCCCTACTTCGCGGCCGCCGGGGGCGCGATCCCCGTCATCCTCTACTACGCCCCCGTCACACGACGCACGCGGCTGGGTCGAAGCCTGCCGTGCCACCTGCTGCTCTCGCGCAGCCACTGGTACCTCTGCAAGCCCACAGGGAAGGTCTCGCGCTGCTGCCGCGTCGATCGCATCGCCAAGGTGATCCTCTGCCGCGACGCGTACGTGGTCTGGAAGATGCTGAGGGGCCGCGATGTTGTGCTGCGCCTTGGCGACGCCGACGAGGTCGCCTTCGTGACAAACCTTCTGCGCATCCTCCGGCTCTCCGCCACCGGCTGTGCGCTGCCTGTGCTGGAGAAGCACGCGGAGCAGTACACGAGCCTCGCCGGGGTGGAGAAGCCGCAGCTCGAGCGCACGGGACACGAAGAGGGGGTGTGGCCGCTGCCTCTGGTGTCGGCTGCGGAGGCAGAGCGGCAGTGCAGCGCGGAGAACGTCCTGCTGCTGCTGCCGCCACCCCCGCTGTCGCGGCCGCAGGCACATTTGGAGCTTGACGCCGGCCCCACGCGGCGGAATGCGCGTGTGGAGGCAGTTTTGCGGTACATGGACGGCCACGTTGCGAGTCCGCGCGTGCCTGCCTCTCCTGACGCGGAACCGTGGGAGGCAGCAGCGGCAGCTTCCGCCGTTCCGTCACAGCGGGCCCCGTCCACGGCGGCGTCGACGATACGACGCATCCTGCCCGTGGCGGAGAGCGAGCCGGTGGAGACGCGGCCGACGTCCCCGTCACCGCACGACTCCCTCGTAGGGCCCACGCACGCCTCGGCGAAGTGTCGTCCCCCGCCGCCGCCGCCGCTCATGCCGCCGCACCGCCTGCATCTGTTGGGCGCAGCAGGGGGTGAGCCCCTGGGGACGCTGCGGAAGTTGCGCGAGGTGGAGGACCGCGTCACCTCCTTGGAGCGGGAGAACGAGTCGCTGCGACGCTCGTGGGCGCATTCGCCGCAGCCGCCCCTCTGCGAAAACGCGGGCTCCTTCCGAACGCCCTCCCCTCTGCCTGGAAACCCATTTCCCCGGCTGACCCCGCCGCTGCGTCTTCCGTCGCAGAAGGAGAATGGGCGCGCAGGCGCCGCCGAGTTTGAGCGGCGCATCGCGGCGAAGCCACTTGCAGAGCGCCTCGAAATACGTCGACATGAAATTGACCGCAACCTGCAGCGGGTGTCGTCGTACATAGAGGCAGCCGATGCGGAGCACCTCACGCTTGTGACATGCCTGCAGGAGGATTTGTTGCTCCTGCTGCAAGCGCAGCAGGCCGAGGAGGAGTTGGGCGAGGCGCAACGGCGGGCAGAGACCCACGGCATGGATATCGCAAGACCAAAGGATCAATCAGCACGCCGCGGTATGCTGGACGCGGAGGATGAGGCGGAAGAAGAGGGAGATTTCGGGCTAGACGACTATGATGTGTGGGCGGCGACCGATGACGGGAAGGAGTGGTACAATGACCTCTTCGGTGAACACCTCACGGCGTGCAAGGTGACGATGGTGCGGAATGCGTTTACGCGTCTCACTACGTCGATGTGAGGCATGCATGTTGTGCGCTCCACCCCGGATGCAGCGCTTCGGCTCTGCCCTGTGGCGTGGCTTATGCGGTAAAGTCGTTTTTCTTGTTTTTGTACGCAATCTCTTTTCTTTATTTCATTTTTTTCCTGCTTGTTCTTTTTGTCGCGCCACAGTTGAGTTTGTGTATGTGCATTTATCGCTGGCTGCCTTTCTCTCTCTCTCTCTGTGTGTGGGTGGGTTTGCTTGCTTTTTTTTTATGTTGTGTATTTGCCCCACTCCTCCCGCGTGCGGTGGATTGCGCCAGTGGCCGCTTTTCCCCCGCCACCTCCCTTCCTCCGCGTCCTCCGTGCCGTCGAGGGGTTTGATAGACAGACGCGTGCGTGAGAGCGATGCCGCTTAAATTTGTCCCCAGAGCTTTGAACTCGGAAGACTCTATGCGCCTCGCGCTGCTTCACATGCTGCGGCACGAGCACGCCGTCATTCTTCAGACATTTGCCGGCAACGCGGCAGCGCCGCGGGGAAGGCCGCCGCGTTCGCTGCCGTCCGCCTTCTGCGGCTCAAGAGAAGGGGCAGAGGGGGCGCCGCGCCGCGAGGAAGTAGCGCCGCCGCAGCTGCCGCAGTTGGTCTACGGAACTTCGCGTCAGACGCTGGGGCCCGCGGCTCGGGCAGCGGAGGCGACGGGTTTGCCCCTGCCACATCCCCCGCAGTTTCCTGCGGAGCGGCCGCCGCGGCTGTTCCTTTCGCTTTCGTTGCCACACTTTGACCTGCCGCTAGTGTTCGCGGCGCCGCGTCGTGGGACGCGAGACTCGCCGCGGGCTCGCCGCCGGGCGTGGCTGCCGCCGGCGGTGACGGCCAAAGACGTCGCCGCGACGTGGGAGGAGATGTGCGCAGCCTTCTGCGCCGCGTGGGACGTCACTGTGCGAGTGGAGGGTTCCCCGTCGCCGCTGCCGCTGCCGCTGCCGCCCTCCGCGGAGCAGCCACCTCCGCCGCCGTCGCGGGACGGGCGGGCCACGCCGCTGTACCCCGCCGTTGTGCCATGCCGGACGATGTGCCGGCAGCAGCGGCGGCGCGAGCGCGTGCCGCCAGCTGTTTATGCTGCGGGCTGGCTGGAAGACGTTCGGCCGGCGTTCACGGCGCAGGCCGCGGCGCTGCGGCGGTGCTTCCTTGCCGCGACGCGGGCTCCGTCCGGCGCTGCCGCCGCACAGCCGCCTCCACCGCCAGTCGTCGCGGTGGTCGACACGCCGCGCGTAAGCAGCGCCGGCGACGCGGGTGGGAGGTTCGAGTTGCCCCGCATCGTCGTCCCGCCGCTTCCGCGCGGGGAGGGCGTGCGGAAAGCACTCCAACAGTTGCGCTTGCAGCCGTTCCTCCCACGAGCGTCGCCGCAGTGCATGACGCGCGCCACGGAGCTGCGGTTTCCCGACGGAAAACACGTGCGGCAGACGCTGTCGCTGCGGAACACCGCGAAGGAGCGGCTGCAGGAGTTGTGCGCCTCGCGTTGCCCGCCGCGACGACGACGGCGGCGGCGGCAGGCTACCGGGTGGTTCTCGGGCGGCACATTCTGCGTGGCGCAAGGCCGCGACCTCGCCGCCGCCGCTCTGCATCCCTCGGCGGTGTTGTCAGCCGCCTCGCACTTGAGGCCACCGGGCCGCTCTGCCGTGAAGCGGCGGTGCGCCGATGTTCCTCAGCCGCCGCCACCGCCCGTGGTGCACGTGCACGCCGCAGCCGTCTTCGCTCCCTCCACGTGGCAGCCGTTAACTTTCGCGGCGGAGGAAAACTCTGACGCCTGCGGTGCGGAAGGCGCAAAGATCGCTCCTTGGCGTGTCTTTCCGCGCGAGGTGGAGCTGCAGACCTTCCAGCAGCTGTTCGAGCGGAGGCTGAGGCGGCGTGGCACGGCGAGGCAAGACGCGGAGGAGGAGGAGGAGGATTATGACGCGGATGGGGAGGCGTGGTGCCATGCGGCCTTTCTGCACGACGTTCACACCATGCCGCTGCCGTATCGCGAGGCTACTGCTCTCATTGATGACGCCAGGCTACACTACTGTTATCGTCTGGCGCTGCACCGGGAGCGGCGGCGCCTTGGCCTTTGATGCGCGGCTCAGCAGTGCAGCTGCGTACGTGTCTTGCCTCGTCGTCGGTCGTTGTTGTTATTGTTTTTTGCTTACCACAGAATGAAGTTGGAGAGCGGGGCCTCCTACGGGCACTGCCGCCGTTGCCGCTGCCTCCTCCGCACAGAACCACACACACAGCGACACGCGTATTTGTGTCTGTTTGCGTGCACATTTGACGCTGTTTCCCCCCTCACTCACTCCGTGTGGGTGCTGCGGCTCACGTACGGCCCTTTCGTGCCGGAAAGGGCCAAGGGCTGTCGATGAGTTATTATTATTATTATTATTATCGTGTGTGTCTCTCTCCTAGTCCCTCTCTCTACCCGTTAAAGTGTGGGTGCGGGTGTGTGGCGTACGTGGCGCCAGGCAACCAAACCCGGAGCGTTACGGTGCGCGGAGTTTATATCGGAGGGCGGGTCGGTAGACGGCGCGTGCGGCGCTGCACGCGTGCATGCGACGGGTGCGTGGGGCCCTTGTATGAAGCACTCTCCCGGCCCTGCCCGCGGCGGCAAGCTAAACGAGTATCGCATCCTGGAGAAGATGGCGGCGGGGAGCTTCGGAGTCATCTTCAAGGTGCGCCGCGTGACGGATGACGCGATCCTCGTCATGAAGCGCATCGCCCTCGCCGACCTCGACGCGGAGCAGCGCAGGGAGGCGGCGCAGGAGACGCACGTGATGAGCCGCCTGCACCACCCCTACATCGTCGCACAGCGGGACGCGTTTCTCTTCAAAGACAGCCTCTGCATCGTGATGGACTACTACGACGACGGCGACCTTGCGGCCCTCATCACGCGACAGCGCGAGAAGGATGAGTACCTGCCGATGGAGCAGACGCTGGCGTGGTTCGCGGAGGTAAACCTGGCAATGCACTACTTGCACGACAAGGGCATCGTCCACCGCGACCTCAAGACGCACAACCTCTTCCTCAACTCCGACAGCGGGGAGGTGGCGGTGGGGGACTTTGGCGTGGCCGAGTTTGTCGGCGCGGCGGGGGGCGGCACGAGTCGGAGTCCGTTCACCACACCGCTGACGCCTGTCTCGCGGCAGCTGTTTGCGAGGCGGCGCGACAGTGAACTGTTTGGCGACGGCAGCACGTGCAGTAGCGGCGGCGACGCCGTCAACGGCCCTTTTGGCGGGGCGGTGCGGGGGACGTTGCTGTACATGGCGCCGGAGGTGCTTGAGAGCGGCGTCTGCAGCCCCAGCTCCGACGTCTGGTCGCTTGGGTGCATCTTGTACGAGCTGCTGAGCCTCCGCCACCCGTTTGAGTCGCGCGACATCGCGGCTCTCATGGTGCGGGTGATGGCGGGGGCCCGGCCGCCGCCTCCCGCGCACTACCCCGCCGAGGTTGTGCAGCTGCTCGACCGCATGCTCTCCCTCGACGCGGCGCGGCGGCCAAGCTGCGAGGAGATCCTACGCTCCCCCGTGATGAGCGCCTCCCTGCAGAAGGTGGTGGAACAGCGGGCGTCACGCACGGCGCATGACCCCGAGGCGGCCCGCACGTGGGCGGCGCAGCTGCAGCGGCTTGGCATTCATAGCCACGCGCCGGTCCCGCGCCTGCCGTACCTGCGCGAGCGGCGTCCGGCGCTGCCGCCGTCGCGGGAGCGGGCGTTGGCGGAACCGCTCGCCGTCCTCGCGTCGCCGCGGCCGGAGTTGCCGCCGTCGCCGTACACCCCCTCCCTTGGCAGGAACCTCTCTCCAACGTGGGTGCCGCCGCTGCCGTTGCGCCTGGACCAGGGCCACAGCCCCCGCCCACGCGACAAGGAGTATGTCCTCGACACGGAGAGGGAAAAGCGTGGCGACGGCGCCGGGGACACCTTCTCGCGCTCCTCATGGAAGCCGGGTGGCGGCAACGTGGAGGACATGCGTCACATGCCGCTAGAACTTATAGAGGCGGAGGTGGCGCGCTACCGCCAGCTGGTGCAAAGTGAAATGCGGAGGCAGAAGCGGCAGCGGGATGCGGCGCTGCATGAGAGCCGTTTTGGCCGCGAGGCCGCACCCACAAAATATTACTACAACAGCCTTGCGCGGCTGGGGCATTCCACTACCACACCCTTTGGCATTCCGCAAACGCATCAGACGGTAATGAGCAGCGGGCCGCTGCCGCCTTCATCGTCGCCGTCGCCGCTGCCTGTACCCGCGCCCGGCTGGGAAAAAGCAAACATCGACAGCCAGTCCTCGGCTGTGGCGGCCAGGTGGCCACAGGGAAGCCTGGAGGCCTCATTAGCGGCGCGGCGGCAGCGGCGTATGGAGGCGGCGATAGGGGTTCTAGGGTCTGCCGTCTTTTTCGCCGTCTACACGTACTACAGAAGCGTAGAGGTGGCGGAGCGGGAGGTAGCGTTCGTGATGCAGCTGGTGCCGGATCGCACCCAGTGGCACGTGTTGCCTGTTGTTGAGGAGGTTGTCGTCATTGATCGCCTGCTGGAGCGCATGGGGGCTACCGGCACGTGATGACATGTACGTGTAGTGGAGGATACTTTCTATATCTATCTATCTCTCTCTCCGTCTCTCTCCATTATCCCCGCATGCGTGCGCATGTGTGTGAAGGGGGCGGTGTGTGCGTGTGTGTGTGTTGTGTTGTGTTGTTTGTTTTTTTTCTTTGTTTTTATTTGCATCTCGTCCTGTTTTTTGTTTGTTTTCTCAACTTTTTTTTTTCTGGCTATTCTGCCTCTGGCTGCCCTCCTCCCCCCTGCATCCCCCACAGCGCCTGCATTTGCGCCGCACCTTTTTCTTTTGTGTGTGTCGGTGTGCTTCCCTCTTCTTTCATTGTGCCCCGTCTCCGCACACGCACACGCCGTTCTCGCGTGCAGGACGCTGAAGTTGTCGGTTCGGGCGGCGATGGCGGACTTCGCCGCGTTCCGCGAGTTTCAGGCGCGCTCCTCCATCGTCGTCGAGCGGGAGCGCGCCGTCGACCTCCGCCGCAGGATGCTGCAGGAGCTGACGCAGAACGTCCAGCAGCTCACGGAGGAGTGCAGGCGGCGGGAGGAGCAGCTGCAGCCGGAGCGGCTCCGCTTCGCCCAACGCAGGGCCGCGCAGGACGAGAAGGTGGGCGCGAAGGAGGCCCAGGGGCAGGCGCAGCGCGAGCGCGTCGCCGCACTGGACGCTGAAGAGACGCGGCTGCGTGCCGCCATTGCGGAGCGGGAGGAGGAGATGCAGCGGGTGCACGGGGAGCTGCAGCAGCGGCAGTCGCTCTCCGTGAGGCTGCAGGAGGCGAAGGGTGGGCTGACGCGCCTCAAGTGCCAGCTGGAGGAGTGGGACGCGAAGGTGATGAAGTTAGAGACGCGCACTGCGAAGATGGAGATGACCGCGGAGAAGCGGCACGCCGCCCTCGCCGAGCGGCTGCCGGCCTACGACATGCCGCAGATAGAAGCCGAGCGCGGCGGCGCTCTAGAGGACATCGCCGGTGAAAGTATTCTTCTTGTTGACGAATTCAATCAGTGAGAGGGAAGGAGAGAAACAGGTGTCGTGCAAAGGGACGGTTAGATTTGTGTTGCCGCCTCCTGCCACGGCGGAGTTTACGATGTCTCACAATTAAAGGTGCACGCACACGCACGGGCACAACATATACGTCACACATGGGCATATGTATGTGTGTATATATATATGTCAACTGTCTAGGTGTGTGCGATTAGAGACTTGTTTGTTCTTCGTTTTTTTTTTCTTGTTGTTGTTGTTGTCTGCGTCGCGTACGCACGCATGAAGCGAGCTGTTTTTTTAGATGCATGTGTCTGTGCTGTAACGGGGGAGGCGCCGTGCGTGCGTGCGTGCAAGCGGGTAGAAAGAAAAGAAAGAAAAAAAAGTGAGAGGGAGCGGCGGGGGCAGTGGCCGACGTTCAGGGCCCGGGCTGCAGCCGCCCTCATTGTCAACGCACACTCACCCACCCACTCGCCCCCTTCTTGACTGCTGTTTTTTTTTTTTTCCTTCTTTTTTAAATCTTTTTCTTCTTCTGCTGCCGCCCCGTTCCCGCAGCCTCCTCGCTTCCTTTTCCCGCGACGGGCCGTGTGGACGTGCGTGCTTCATATATCGCACGCACAGCCGAAGCAAGGCGTCCGTCCTGCCGCGGCAAAGGGGCGTGTGGGGTACACGGCGAGAGCCATCAAGGGAGGCGAAGCGGGATAAGCATTGGGCCAACTATACATCTGCAGTGCTGTACATACACGCACATATATATATATATATATATAGTACTATTATTGTGGTTATTGTTGCGGGGCGGTCGTTGCGAAGATCGCCGCCGTGAGAAGTCGGAGGGAGGCAAAAGCAACAGCCGGAGGAGGAGGCGAGGGAGGGAAGAGGCCGCGAGGATGGGCATGGATCACTACACGATTGTAAGGCAGCTGGGCGGGACGACGGCGACGTACCTGGCAGTAGACAAGCAGGACGAGGAGAAGAAGGTGGTGATCAAGCGTCTGATGGACGGGACGCAGGGGGTGCAGGAGCTGAACGTGTCGCTGCGGGTGCGGCACCCGAACATTATACCTTTTCTGGAGTCCTTCGTCCACGACGGGGCGCTCTACGTCGTGCTCGCCTACGCGGAGGGCGGCGACCTCGAGGCGTACCTCGGGCAGCTGCGGCGGGAGAAGCGGCCGCCGCAGCAGATGCGGCTGCTGCGCTGGTTTGGGCAACTCCTCGCGGCGCTGCAGTGCTGCCACCAGCAGAACATCATGCACCGCGACGTGAAGCCGAGCAACATCTTCCTCAACGCGGACGCGACGGAGCTGTACCTCGGCGACTTTGGCTCCGCCAAGGCGCTGCTGCGCTCGGCCTCGCTGACGTCGACCTTCGTCGGCACCCCGATCTGGATCTCGCCGGAGCTGCTGATGGGGACGCCGTACGGCTTCCCCTCCGACGTCTGGTCGCTCGGCTGCGTCTTCTACGAGATGGTGGCGCTGCGGCGCCCCTTCACCCCAAGTAGCTTCGCCAGCCTCGTGCAGCAGATCACCGCCGGCGACGTCGCCCCGCTGCCCGCCAACACCCCGGACGACATCCGCACCATCACGATGTCCATGCTGCGCGTCGACCCGGAGAAGCGCTGCGGCCTCGCCAAGGCGCTTGAGCTGACGGAGCGCGCCATTCAAACCCGCTCGCCCCCGGCCGCAAAGGGCGCGGCGGAGCGTGAGAAGATTGAAAGGCAGCCGCCGCCCGGCATCCCCAGACGCGCGGCGGGGGCAAGTCCGCAGCGACAACAGCCGCAGCAGCAGCAGCCACTGCGACGGCCCTCGCCGGCGAAGGCGGTTCAGGCAGCCGAGGCCCACGGCGGCGGCACCGGCGGGTCGGACAACAAACTAGCGGACTGGATTCACGCACGCAACCACGACGTGAGCGTCATCGAGCGCTACCTGACGAAGTTTCGCCAGTCGGACGAGCAGATTTTGGCGCCGGCGGCCTCCTCAGTAGCGGACGCCCCGCGCGAGCGCGGGCGCGTCGCTGCGGGGGCGTCGCCGAAGCGAACGGCACCGCAGCCATCGGCGACGCACAACGACGAGCCCCGCCTGCGGCCAGGCCTCGTGCCGGAGGCGCGGGCGCAGGAGACGGTGGTGCCGGCGCAGCGTGGCGGGGCGGCGGTTCGATCCCGGCGCCGCATCATGAGCACGAGGTGCCTCCCCACAAAAAGGGAGCAAAGTGAAACGCCGGCAAAGAAGAACGCCTCACCTTTAGTCCGCCAACCCTCCGCCGCGCACAACCTAAACGGAAACGCCCCGCAGGCATTCAGGCGCATCAAGAGCAGCCACCCACTGCTGGCACGGCATGCCTCGCCCCCCGCGCCGCCGCCGCCGCCGCCGCCGCAGCAGCAGCAGCAGCAGCAACAACAACAACAACAAGAGGAAGGAAGACAGCTGAATCGCGAAAAACGCGAGAAGGAACGTGCAAAGATGCTTGAAATGATACGGGAGCGAAAGGCGAAGGCGCTGCAAGAACGCAAGGCAAAGGGCAAAAGCGAAGAGCGGGACGCCGTGGCAGTGGAGATCGTCCTGCCTGCCAATGTGCGTTACGAGGGCGGCGCGGGGTAGCGAGAGAGAGAGGGATGTGCGTGCGTGTGCGTGTGTTCACCAGGTTGCCTTGCCCACTCGCAAGTGGTCTCACCATCTGGCTGGTCATGGTCACTGCCGCTGTTGCTTGCGGCTGCGGGTCGCAGCGATTCTTCGCAACGAATTGAAGACTCGTGTCTTGTCGTTTTAGGTTACACTTGTGTATATATGCGTGTGTGTTTTCCCCACCCACCCACCCCCTTTTTTTTTCTTTTGTTCGTTCGCTTATTGTCATTTTTTCTTTAATTTCCCCTCCCCACTCTCTCAGTTTCCTTTTTTTTTTGGCTGCTTCAAACCCCCCCCCCCACCTGCACTTCCGCGAGAAAACGGCAGAGGGGCGCGGCGCGCGTGCTCCTAGACACCCCCGCATTTGCACGTATACACTTCTGCATGCGTGTACATATGTATGTATATTGTGCGCACACTCCCCGCCTGCGTGCGCTCGCGCGCGTCCACGCCCCCCCCCCCCCCCACCGGCGGTGCGAATGGGAGCAGCAACACAAACGCAAGTGAGGCTCTGCCCCGCCGTGCGGGCAAAGGCGGCGGGGCAAAATGCCAATGTGTTGCGAGCTCCCACGTCGTGCCGCGGCATGCTGTTCAACAAACTGGAAGTAAAGCAAAACAAACGAACAACGAAAAAAAAAAAGGAACGCTCTTTTCCACAAAGTGCTGCGATGCGTGCCTCCTTGTGATCGCGCCCTTGGCGGCGCTACGAAACACGCCGCCTTGAAAGGAACTAGAGAGTAACAGCCTGCCACCTTTCCTCACATTCTTTTTCGCCACATAGCACTAGCACAAAAAACGGGCAAGCAACGCATAGGGCGCCGCGGAGCATGGCGAACGCGCCGATACCCACCAAAAAACAGAGAGGCGCATGCAGCGACCCGGCTACTGCACGAAACGGCAAACAGAAAGAAACCCGAGTGGCGCACCCCCGACTCCTCCCGACGCCCGAGCGCGCCGCGCCCGCCGCGGGGCAAAAAGCGAAGAACGAACGGGGGTGGGGGAGGAGGGGCAAAAGGGGTCAGTGAGGAAGCAAAATGGGGTCTGGTCGTCACGGGTCTCGCTCCGCCGAGTTGTTCGTCCGTTCGGTCATCATGCCGCGCGGGGAGGGGCGGGGGTAAAAAGAAAAAGGGGGGAAGGCCCTCAGCCTTGGTATTAGGTTCGTAGGCGGTTGGCGTCACGCGGGTTCCACGGAGAGTTGCCACAGTCATCACGGGGCCGGCGCGCACACAGCACACACACACACACACACACACACGGTAGGGGGAGGCCGGGGGTCTCAGCGACCGAATGGAATGGATTGTCGTAGGTCAAAGTGTTTCATGTCAGCGCGGTGGGCGCGCGGGCCCGCCCGCTCGACAAGAGATTCCCTCTTTGCTTGCTCATCACGCGGGGCGCGGCCCGCGGCAGGGGCGGCGGCGCGCCGTCAGGGCAAAG